TTTGGAATGTGGACCATTGGGGTCGCCCACTCACTGAACTCTACTTTCTCTACGATGCCTTGGCGCTCAAGGCGGTCGTACTCTTCATTAACAGCTTCGAGCAGTGAGTAGGGGACTGGACGAGCCTTACAAAATTTGGGTGTTGCCCCTTCCTTCATTACGAGCTTGGCTGTGATACCCTTAATTGTGCCTAATTCTGGCTGAAAAAGCTCTGCATGGGCATCAATCAGTGCATTAAGTTTCTCCTGGTGAGGAAGTTTTCCCCTGAGAGTTTACATGTAAAAATGCCTTCCCAATCTAGCTTTAAAATTGAGAGCCAATCTCTTCCGAGAAGAGAAGGGCCTGTCCCTTTGACTATCACTAATGGAAGAGTTGCATCTTGCTCCCTGTACTTCACATCTACCGTTATTTGACCCAGGAYCTCTATTGGCTCCCCGGTATAAGTATGAAGCTTGGATGAGCATGACTTAAGAGGAATTTCTCTAAAATGCTTGTGATATGTTTGCTCTGAAATAATGGAGGCACCGGCACCAGTGTCAAGTTCCATATTGACACTAATTCCTTCAACCTCAAGTGATACATCTATGYCATGCTTGCCAATCTTATACATTGYAGAYGAAAATGAGTCCGGCTGGTTGTCAGAGTCATTGTCCTTTGCGGGTTCTTCCGCTACGACAACTTGTTTTGTTCCTTTACTTTGACAAGCCTGAGCCAAATGACCCTTTTTGTTGCAARAATTACAAGTGTAAGATTTGTACTTACAGTTTGTTCGCTTGTGGCCTGTCTTACCACAGCTTAAACAGGTTCCATGATCCTCGGGTTTGCCAGTAGRTTTCTTGGCTTCATGCTTGTTAAATCTTCGCCCTTGTCTTCCCGAAACCTTGTTGACAGGTTGACCGTTTCCTGGTGGATTAGCAGTGGAGAGCTCGCGTACATCCTTCTCCGCTGTCTCCATGCTWAAGGCGAGTTTGAGGGCTTGCTCGAAGTTGTAGTCAGCCGTCAGGAGCTTCCGTTTTGTTTGCTCACTGTGGATCCCACAGACAAATCTGTCGCGTAGCGCCTCATCTAGGTGTGTGCCGAAGTTGCACGTGGCTGCCAAGCGCTTGAGGTTGGCCACGAATGTGGACACGGTTTCCCCGGGGGCTTGAGAGCAGCTATGAAATCTGTATCGCTCGGCGATTACCAACCGTTTGGGAGCAAAATGAGCCTTCAAAATCGTCGAGAGTTCTGTGTATGTCTTGGCAGAAGGTGTTGCAGGAGAGCATAAGTCGGAGAGAACATCGTAGGCCTTGGCGCCTATCACAGAGATCAGGATTGCCCGACGTTTGTGTGACGAATCAGTGTCTGGCTTCACGCCGTTTGCTTCAAAATACTGGTCTAAACGCTCGAGATAGCGCTCTATATTTCCAGTAGTGGTGTGAAACTCTTCTATCTTGCCCAGAGTTGCCATTTTGGTGCAAAATGTTTATCCTCGTCGCCAGAAATATGTCAAATTCTCATAAGAAAGACTACTCGTGACACAGAATGGCGGTCCACAAGCAACACACTTTTATTGATAACTGCTGACCCAAAATATAGTGGACTCAATAATAGCACAGGTAGCCCGATGCTATAACAACAAAAACCTAACACGGATGGAGATAGCAGTAATAAGTACAAAGATAAAGGCAAGTGTGAGCTATTAAGCAGCTGTAGGAAGAAATAGCGCCCTAACCTTGAATCAAGTTTCCCCTCAGTGTACCGTATTCGACGAATTGGCGCAAAACCAAACCAGGCAGAAGGTTTAATTCCGTGTGCTTTTGGTGAGCGACTTCCGAAATATGCACGAAGGCGTCGTGGCAAAGCTAATTAGTTTTCGGGCTATTGTATTAAGACTCAAATATGCAAATGTTCCAAGTACGAGGAACTATCGACTGATTGTTCTTGTTCCCTGTTCGTTGGATATTGCTTGTCTCCGAGAGCCTTCCGGCCCGTTTGTGGTAATCCGAAGTGCATTTGCAATTTAAAGGTCTAGGCCCTTCGGGCCAGAGCAATAAATGCATAAATTGTGGGCTGATGTCCACATGAAAGCAGCATGGACATCCCTCTAATAATTATGAAGCATTCATGAGCCAGCCATGAGCCATGGATGAATAACAGAGCTATAAAACAGACACAATAATTTTAGTCCRCTTTCATTTTTGTTCAAATTTAATAATATATCATATAATATGCCAATGTACAGCTACCAATGTTTTTTAGGTATGCACATGAAGAGGAATATACAAATAGACTAGTAATAATACCTTTTCTTCTGATGTACTACGATCACTGTTGTCATTCTGGGTCTCACTAAATCCAGTAAAAAATAAGTTGAGTAATAATAAAAGGTATCATTGATCATAAAAGGAAAAAAGCAAATGTAATCTGAGAAAACAACTCAAATATAAAGTCTAGGCAAATGACGTAAAAAGTCTGTCAGYGTTTTTTGTTTATTTGTTGGTTTGTTTTTTTTGGTTTGTTTTTGTTTTGACTTGTAACTTACAGCATACAATCAAACAATACTATGATCACATATTTCAATTATTTCAGATTGAAATCACACATGCCACCTATTGTGATAAAAATATTAGAACATGTATTCACCTTGAGTTATCTGCCATAATGTTGTGTGGTACTCCATCTTCAGGAATTACGGGAAAGAAGGCGCTGGTTGTTGCTTCTTGTCTCTTTCCTTCAAGACAGCTATAACCGGTCATGGTATCATAAAGAATAATATAAAAATTAGGTAACACCTAATAGCGGAGCTCCAATAGAAATATAGAAGCTGAAAATGATTATCTACTGCTAAGGTAGATGCTCTGTTCTAAGGAATGTGAGCTACAACAGTTTTGTTGACATGCGAACAAATATTATAAAGAGTATGTTTATGAGAATTTAGTTCGTAGTAAATCAGTGACAACTTTCGGCAATTCTACTTTTTCACGAAATTTGGAATCCCGAAAGCTATTTTTTCACTTTTTTCAGGATTTATGATTTCAAATTTGTTCTAGATTCTGAATTATGCCTACATTTTTCAAGTTGTAACGAATAATCATCAAAGTACCCTAATGTTTGAAAAAAAACATGGTTATTTTTCGAAATCTTAGTTTGAAATCGTTTTCTGAATTTTCCTTTATTTTTCTTGCTTTTTGCTTAATTTCGAAGTTGAAAAAGCTGAGAAAAGCGCGTGTTTTTTTAAAATGTTGAACAGCAAAAAGCTGAGAAAAGTATGGATTTTTTTAGCAATTAATACGAAAGAAAAAAGCAGAAAAAAGTATGATTTGTTTAGAAAGCAGTGTTTAATCAAAAAGCCGAAAAAAGTATGACTTTTTTTAGAAATCAATTTGCAACAACAATCTGAAAATTTTATGAAAATTAAAGAAATCACGTGGTTTTAGTTGTTTTGGCCAGCGGATGAACACTCGTGGGCATGCTTATAATTTTTGAAGGTGGAGGTCCTCGAGTGAAGTATCGTCCAATAATATCGTCCTTTTTTGTGGAAAATAAGATCCATAACTTATATAAAGAAGAAGGAAGTTGACACGTAAAGCATTGAAGAGGTAAGCCTAAGATATTCATTGATATCCCGTGATTATACAACTAAAAAAGTGCCATTTTGCTACTTTTTTGTTGCGTATGTTTCGGTACTTATAAAGCTTGCTCCTTATCATGGAAATAAATCATACAATTGAACTAGAATTATGCGTGCACAAAATTTACTTAAATAATCAAGTTATTTTGGATGCCAAAATTAAAAGAATGCAATGCAGGAAATGTATTCAGAATTCAGTTGAGCACACATATTATTTCTGTTATGATTTTGCTGTAAGCAAAAAACTGTATATATAACATAATCATAACATAATCATTAGAAGATCAAAAAGTTCGAACATTTGAACATAATTATTAATATGATTTCTGCTTGATTGAAAATACCAAAACTTTTAAAATGCATCTATATT